ACACTACACCACACTAAACTACACTACATGGTTCAACTTGTTTGATAAACAAGTTGTGTGAAAATCGTAGTATGTAAGTGGAATTCAATGTCAGAGTACGTTCAGTATTTTATATTATAATTTACATAGTAAATGGTCATACACATAATCATTGTCAATGTGACAAACTAGTCCTATCATAATGATGTCGGAACTCATATCCAGGGTCACAAATTATACTCATAAAAATGGACTCGCGTGTAAATTTCAACCACACTGGCTATAATTACCTATGATAAGTTACTAATGCACGAATTACATATGCTAGCAGACAGTTCCTATGCAGTACCACCTAACCTTCTGTTCATTGGGACATGAGTGTTTGAACTCCTAACATATGTCTGTGTGTTCTTCTCGGTACGTTCATGTGGGTGCTGTCATTATTTTATTCCCGGAAGTGACGAAATACGTGTAATGCTCACTTTATGTAATGGATTTCACCCCCACCCACCCATTAGTAGTGACTACACCTGAGTTGCCGTATATTCTCCATTGTGTAAACTCGGTAAAAAATTGACGTAGTTATTTATTTCAATGGGGGCCGATACAGCAACGATGATTCACTTTGACTCTTAGTCATGCACTGTACAGCGTTTTTGAACTTTAGGGCAGTATCACATCATCGTCAAATCCGGAAAACGTTAGGTACAAATTTGAGTTTACCTTCAAGTTCATAGTTGCCGTGTACATAGATATAATAATAACATGGTGGTCTGATCTATACTTGGTAATTTGGGACGATGACTTTACAATTTTTTTCTAGAAAGCTACACATAACAATATTAGTACTGAAGTACAAAATGTGTGACCCCGGGCATATTAATTCCGAACAAAAAGTTGTAAAATAAAGACAAATACTATATAAAACTTCTATAGTGTACGTGGACGATAGATCCAAATAATAAGAATGCAGAATTGTATAAAAAATGAATATTTTAATCAATCAGTCTAAGTCTTAATCAAACTTATTTATACCTTAATTCGGAGTAAATGTTACGAGCACAAAGAAAGACTCAGCTATGTGGCGCGCCCTCACCGATACGCAGTACGAGATCGGCGTTGCCGAAGAAGGCGCGCATTCTACGGTGTTGCTAATCTAATTGACACACAATAATAACCAAGCGTTGACCAGATCCAATAGTTATTTTGTGTTATTAGTACAATGAAATATATATGTATGGATCTGTGAGAAAAGACTCACGCTCTTAGCAAACACTCGGGTAGACTTCTATTGAAAAAATAATTATTTTGTGCATGAACGTTATACAATGGTATGCAAGTTTAGAAAGAAATGTGCCGGTTATAGCACAAACAGTGTTCAAGTTATAAGAATTGAAATTAGTGCAAAATATAGAGAAGCGCGGATAATGAAAGTCTGATTGATGTGTTCATATTGAGATGGGACATCACAAATCTGATAATCTGACAAATAGGAGCTCACTCATTCCCTGAAGTGTACAAACCAATCTCGGTCCGGTTGGGGTTGCCAGGAGACAACTCTGAGATAACTGAATCTACTCGCTGTGTATACTCAATGCATGGAACTGCGATTAATCCCCAGTCAGTAAAATGTTCTCAAAGTGCAAATAAATCGGCCAGTAGTTTTGTTATTTAACTTATTTTTTAAAGTTGAACGTTATATACTAGGGGTGTTAGATTCTGAAAAAGAAAATACAAAGAAAAAGTTGCAGTAAAAAAAAATATAAAAACGCACGCATACATCAACATTGTGTTCACCGTAACAAAACTAGGCAATGAAGCACAGTAATTTGTACATTTTTTTGTTACTATCTATCCTCTCAGATTTCCTAGTGATCAATCCCTAATAGTATTTAGTATTAGGTCTTAGGAGTCAACCATCACAAGGTAGTTCGAAGAATGTGACGAGTGAATTTGTTTTTTTCCTGGTGTCTAAGCTGTACAATTTTATTTATTTATTTATTTTTCTTTGAATGTGAAAAGTTTTTTTTCCCCTGCAACTCCTTGCATGAATTTTCTCGGTGTCCTGCTTGCAATTCGTTTTTCTCTCTCATGATTTAAAATACTGTAAAATGACTAATTTTCATTTAGATAATGTGTTCTATGCTAAATTTTACATATTCACTTGGGTTTTAATTTAGCGCATTTTCCAGTCAGCGAAATAAGCTTAAATTAAAACCCAGTGAATAATTACCCCCTTTACAGTAATTGACCTCTTACTTACAAATTTTCATATACTTACATTTACATTAATAGATTGTCAATTTTATTAATTTCTTTTCTGATCAAATAATATTAATCACGATATTATTTAGACATTAGTTCAATGCTGCGATAGCGAACTTCTGAGTTGCGCGCAAAATAATGGATATATGGCAACCAGGTGGTTGTATTGTTGAGCGCCATCTACGGTATGCGACGAGCAGGGTGGCCCTTGATCATTCGGTCAGGTGACGCAACTGATGTCACATGATTGCTTTCGTTAACTGTATGCGAGACGGACTTTTCCAGCAGATCCTGGCTTATCCGCGAGGTGATGTTATAGATAGTCATTTAAATCCATCCAGTCTATCCAGCAAACTCATCTGTCCACCATGGTACACGCCGGCGTTAAGTTTGGTGTTCCGTTGGCAGTTGGTACGATATGCATGTGTCTTGGAGTGGCGCTTGTCTTCGTATTGGACAACGTTGTACATTCTATGGTGAACACAGTAAGTACACATTGATACAGAACCAGACCGATTGGTTTTATTGTCCATACTCACCTGGTAGTTACTTGTTATCATTTATAATTTATCAAATAATAGTATTGATTGTATAGCATTGATTAGGGCATGTGGTCGGGGGTGGGGGTGTCGTCTGTTCGTATCATGACAATCCATGTACACAGGGCTATTGGTTAGGGTCATATTAAGAATGAAAAGTCTTTTAACAAAACATAGAAGTTTAATAACTGCATTATAGCGCTATGTTTACCTCACTGGTGTGAGAAACTAAATTTCAACCTAGTCCAACCGCTTTGGAAAAGATTGATTTGAATATGTAAATCAAGAAATTTACAATAATTGAGACATCTATATTTAAATCGATATTGAATAGAACATCTCCGGAGGAATGATATAAAAAAACAATTATATTAACTGTACAATAAATCATTAAAATATGACTTATTTTATTAGGCATGTCCCATTTACATATTTAGCTAATGTGCCACAGTGATAGGGCAAAATATGGTAGCTGTGTGAAATGAGAAATATTATTATTTGCTATTACTGGTAATTATTAGTTTACTGTATTATGAAAAGACAATGAAAAGTAATAGCTGGATAAAAAGTTTAAACAACCAGATCAATAGTATCCTAATATTCCACGGTGAAATCTTGGGAATGGACCATTTTCCGTTCACTGCGACATCCCACAGAATAAATAGTGACATCAAAATATTGTATTTTTTAGGTATTTCCACATCAGCAAATAATTTTGTCACTTTTGCTGAAGTAAGTGTTATCTCTATGCAATATTTTTCTCAGAAATATCAGCCTTTCGACGTTGAACTATAATAAAAAACAAATTCAAGTTCAAAATTCAAAGTTCAATTTTTGCAGCAGATTTTACATCTGTGCTTGTCATGCATTATGCAAGATCAGACAGTGAAAGAAAAATAGTCTATTGAGAAATCCCCAGTATGGAGTAGTATTTATATTTATATTTCAATAATTCACTGTTATTGTGATACTGGTTACATGTACATGTAATAACAATATTCATCACAAATCATTTCTGTGTGTGAATATTATCGATTCTAGTAATATTTTTTGTTGTTCATCTCAGCAAATGACAATATCCAATTCATCAGCAACTTACGACACCTGGCAAGACCCGTCAATTCCAGTATATATGCAATTCTTTGTCTATGACATCATCAATCCATACGAGGTTAAACACGGTAAAGAGTTGCCTTTTGTTGTACAGAAAGGTCCGTATACTTATAAGTAAGTATGTTTTTCTTGATTCCGGTCAATCTTTTTTTAATCATAATTAAACACACTGATGGGTTAAATTAAAAAATTTAAAAAACAAAGTGTTTCTTCCCCCGGCCTATGTATGCAGCAAGGTTCCCCCAGGAGCCTCTTTCTGAGTTTACCTGAAAGGCTCTTCCGCAGGGAACTGTGAGGGACACCAGACTTATGAAAAGGTCCCATTCCAAGGAGTACACACTATGTAAAATTTTTTGAGAGCGAAAGGGTCACAAGACAGTGTTCCATTCTCTTGCATTATTGTATTCATTGTTATAATTCTTTTTTTCTCTTGCCCTCAATCAGATTTCATTGGCCATTGTCTAAAATATACATGACATATTCTTTTTTTTCTATGAATAATTTTTCTTTTAAGGGAACACCGACCAAAGTTTGACATAAATTTCAATGAAAATGGGACGGTCTCTTATCGACAGAATGTCACGTATGTCTTTGATCGCAGCATGTCATCTGGATGGGATAACGAGACTTTGACAATGATTAACATTCCGTTAATAGTAAGTGAATTATAATTATTATAGGAATTGCACAAAAACGGTACTGCACTGTACTGACAGGGGTACAGCATACTTCTATTGACCATGATCTTAAAGTGTGGTGGCAGCCATGTTTGTTTTTATTATTAGAAGACGCTTATGCGTGGTGGTGTGGTGTCAAAATTCTGTTTATGTTGCAATCATTAAAATTGCACAGAAACAAACTTCAAATGGGGAACTTAAAAACAATCCAAACCATTCTGAGTTGACAGTTGAAACAGTGTCACTAGAAAATTTAATACAAATTTCAAACCATCAAGTACTTCACTCACTTCACCTCTATAAATCTTCTTGAATGATCTTGGAATGCAAACTTAATTTTCACTGTTACACTATTTTGTCATTTTCAATGAAATTGGCGAAAATATGTTTCTCTTGCGAGATTAAAGTTGTTAAAAACATCTACTATAGGAATCTTGTAGCTATCATGAGACACTCTGTGTAAAGGTGTGTTGTGTAATCATTAGACAAATATTTATGTTAGCAATCACATTATTTGGACAAAATTATAGATAACTTGCCACCAATGTCTTTCTTTTTGTAAATGCATACAAGCATGTCATCTTTTGTTTGTGCCAACAGTTTTTTTGTAGTTGCTCTATATGTGTATTTCCCTGCAATTACTGTAAAATATTTTAGCTTGAATTAATATTCGTTGAAAATACCTTTTGGGTGTTTTGTATGGAATTTATTTTCAACGATTTTTGATGAGTTAAATGTAAAATATAGGAAAAAAGATTTTATTTTAGATTTTATTTTAGATTATTCTAGATTTTATTTTCACTGAATCAATCCTTTAGCGAAAATTAATTCCAAGCGAAAATTAAGTATTTTACAGTAATGTCTTTGATTCCAGATAGGTACTGTAAAGTACTTTTAGTTTTGGTGAATTAATTTTCACTGAACTGACTTTTTAGCTTTGCTTTCGACTTTGTCAAGCAGATCTTATCATATGAGTGATTGTCAGTTGTTGTCTGTGGTCGTCTTTTTACTTTTTTGATTTCTTAAAAACTACAAGCCTGATTGCTTTGATACTTGGTGTCTATCGGTATGTACCTTGGATTTACCTTTTTTAGATTTGTTCATTTCATTATGGTATATTCAATTATCTAATTTTGATGACTATTTTTGTCATTTTTTGGTAAAAATTGATATTTTCAACTTCTTGTTGAAAACCACAAGTCTGATTGCTTTGATACATATAAGCACTCTACACGTGACCTTCCCAGATTTTTTCATTTTGTGATGATATTTTCAATCCTTTGATTGAAATGTGCATAGCTAACAGAGGAACTATCTCTGTCAAGAGGCTGCTTGTTGAGTATTTTATACATAGTTTTTTTTCACCAGTTGAATGTAAAAAAAAAGGAAAGAAAAGGTATATTTTCTGCATTTAATTTTCACTGAATCGCACTTTCAGCGAAGATGGTGAAAATGCATTCCAAGCCAAAATAAAGTTCTTCAAAGTACGTAAATAATACAGGTGCCTAGTCCATATATTAGATAATGTGTTTTTTCTTCTGCAAAGTTGTCATCAGACTGTTTTTTTTAAATCTGTTTCAGACAGTAAGCAACCTGGCCAGATACCTTCCAGATTTACTGCAGACATTGATTGAGGCACTGGAGAAAGTGTCGGGTGCCGAGCTGTTTATGAAAAGAACAGTGAATGAAGTGCTATGGGGATACGACGATGAAATGCTGAAATTTATTATGAATATTACAGGGAACCTTTTGATTAAATCAGCTAAGTTTGGACTTTTCATGGGGGTAAGTTTTATTTACTATTTGTTGCTATACTCTTATTATGTAATTTTTATACCATTTTATCCAAGCCCATTGTGTATGCGAAATAATATTCGGTCAATTTGAAATAATTATTTGTGATATTGTCATGCATATTACCAGTTTTTGATCCAGAAGCCACAATTTGTTATTATTAAATTTCAAACAATGTTCATAAATACATATAGACTACTGAATCGATTTGATTTAACAAAAGCATTAAATACAATGGTATGGTGTAAACTTTAATATTGATATTAATTATTAATATTGTTTGTCATAATACATGTGACATGCAATGTCAATGCCCAAATATGGACAATGTCATGTGAGATGCAATGTCAATGTCCATATATGGACAATGCCATGTGAGATGCAAGGTCAATGTCCATATATGGATAATGCAATGTGACATGCAATGTCAATGCCCAAATATGGACAATGCCATGTGACATGCAATGTCAATGTCCATATAAGGACAATGCCATGTAACATGCAATGTCAATGCCC